TTTCAGATATTACAAGCGTTTGTGTAGCGGGTTTTTTTTTGTATGTTAATTAAAATTTTTCTGTGATACGTGTGACTTTTTATCATAAATTAAAAAATATTACGAGCTCAAAGTTTTTGCAAGTTTCCGCAATAAGTAAACACAGTGATACTAAAACAATTTAGTCAAGCGGGGCAGATCGCGCGGAACGAAGAGATCTATGTCTTCTTAATAATCGCACGCGGGCACGTTCATTGTTTCACGCTCGTTTTTTTTTTTGCTTTCTTTTCATGATTTTTTTTCTATAAAACTCTACACGATTTATTTAACGAGCAATTCTTCGTCCAGTTTTATATTCTCTTTTTTTCTGAGAGAGATAGATTGCTTATATTTTATATTATAGTATTTATCCAAAGCTGTTAATAATATACACGTGCTTTATTAAAGACTCAGCAGATGATTCAATTAGCTTTGACGAGGGAGAGCGTGATAGACTGGCAGCAGTCTTTTTATTTCAAATTCAAGTATCATTAGCTCCGCCGTCGATGATTGCAACTCTATAATGTTTCAAAAGCAATTGTATTTATTTTATTGCTAATTTCTTCAATTAATTCCCTTTATGCAAAATTCCTTTTCTGTCTCTCTTAACATTTTTACATCATAGATTTGATTGTAGTTTCCAAAGTTAATTGTTTTCCCTGACGAAGATGATACTGTAGAAGGTGATAAACGCTTCGTTAAATTCTGTCGTGTGTTAATATCACGGATCAATTAGCAAACTTTCCTAGTCCTAAATCTAAATTCCATACGCCTCTTCTTCCTTCTCTCGTCATCGTGTTCTCATGTCGTTGTTCCTATGAGAAATACTCTGCTACTTGCAGTTCGTTGGATCGCGAGCGATATTTTATCGTGTCTCACGGTGACAAATAAAAATTGAGAACAACATTCCTCGAATGAACGGTCGGTGAACAATTTTTTTAAGCAATGGAGCATGGAATTGCTGTGGGGATTCGCATCACGTGTGTTTTCCTATATCGTACGAGTTTCATAGTTTTTCGTTCATTATAAAGGAAGTAAAGGAAAGTAAAATTTAAATATACATTATTTAAAAATAAAAAAGAAACGCGCACTTCGACTTTGTCGAATTTCGATATTTAATCAAAATAATCAATTTAATCAAAATAATTTTTCCTTTCTTTTTTTTAATTTTAAATATTTCAAAATTGTTAAGTTTATTTTGTTTTGATTTTGTAACACTCGGGTTATATATTCGATTATGCAAATTTCGATCGATGCCATTGAAAATGAATTCAGATATACCTCAGCTATCGAAACACACGGATGACAATCCCGTGTATGTGTGAACCAAATTCACAGACGTGATGTATTTCTATTGTTGAGTTTAAAATTGCAAAAGTCGAGTATTTTTTTAGCGTATAACGGCCCGCGCGATATGATTGGTGCGCTGAAAAATCTCAGCATACCGCGTTTCAATGTAATCGACGATTACTTAGCACGATAGACTTAATCACTTAATTGGCTTAATTGCTACAATTTCAACAGTGTTAAATCTTTGTCTTTGCGTATAAGTATATAAACTATGATAGAGCCAGCTATATCGTTTCTGTCTCTAAAATCTACTTAACAAAGTTCTCGACTTTTCGATAATTTCTCTTTTATAACATGAAATTATATATCTCTATTTATGTATATATATATTCTTTGTCTCTTATTGTAATTTTATATATATATATGTACACGCGCAAATATATGTGTATGTGCATTTTACGTGTGTGCACGCGTGTTTGTGTCTATACTTTCGATTTAATCAAATGTTTTCAGTGATGAGAATTGTGTCTTTGCTCTTTATTGAGAATAGAAAAATATTGATTTCTTATAATTGCGTAATTTGTAATAAAAATTAAATCATACAGATGATAAGTAAAAAGTAGCGCGTTATCGATATAAACTGTTTTTCCTATTTTTTTTTTATAAATAGCAATTGCAAGTAATACAAATTCGTATAATAATTCAGACTCGATTTAATAAACATTTGCAAAAGATTGATTGTCAGCTCGTTTCATTATTAGCAAAGACGCTATTCTCGTCTGCAACAGCAGCAGCGCACTTTCCCATGTCTTATGGTCAATGATTATGCAAATATATATACATGTCATATTACAAGATATATACATCTAATATTACAGTTTGGCTTTGTATGTGTATTATACGAATTTGTAAGCGCAGCGCCATTCTTGTGTAACCATACTATATGTACGAGAAATTTCTCTCGACAAATTACCGCTTTCATCAATTTGAACAACAAATTCTCGAGATCAAATCACACTTTTTCATTATTTTATAATCATTTGTCACATAAAATGCCAAGAAATTATATTGTCAAATAAATAAATAAAAAGGCAATATAAAATTATCAGTAGTAATTTACAACTCTAATATAATATGAAATTGATAATAGATAATAGATAATAGATAAAATCTATAGATAGAAAATATAATAATAAAAGTGATTAGATTTTATATGTAACGATTCGAAATTTTTAGGTGTCAAAAATGCTCATGTTGTACTTGCAATATATAACAGATCGTGTCGATGATTTCATCTTGAATAGAATAACGATCACATTTGCAATTCCATTGACTATTTGTCGAGTATGACAATTATTTCGATCCATATTCAATTTAGTTCTTTCACTCTTCTGCTCCAATTATTTCGTATTGTTCGATAACAGTGTTCAATGTATTAAAAAAGACAAAGGCAAGCGTACATCTAAATTGAAGATTTTTAAATGTTTTCCAAACAAAATAAAATATCTCTATGTAATGCCCAAACCAAAATCTTTGATCGATTTCCTTTCAAAAGAACTTACATCAACCCAATAAAACCTTTGAGTTTCAGATACTTTTATTATAAATAACTCAATTAAAGTGATATAGAAAATCGCTCAAAGATGAGAATAAAATATAGAAGTACCTGGAGCTCCAATTATTTAAAATACATATCTAAACTTATACTGTAAAAGAGAAAGCTTTTTCAGAAAAAGTCAAAAGTAAAATCTTTATATTTACATTTATATTAATCATTCGAAAATTAATATATTTGGTTTTAACTATATTTCATTGACAATCTAGTTGGGCACCGTCATTACAAGTTATATCATGAATCACACCCGCAAGTATCTTGATTTAATAATTAGAAAATGCCACGTTATCTCGTCGAGAGAGACATGGGTTTTGATAT